AGTATAAGTCAGGGTACTTTCCTACTAGAAAAAACAGCATGAGTTTAATAAAAATAACGCAAATGTTCTGAATACATCGTTCTAATCACTGCTAAATAAGAAATACTCTTAAATGCTCTTATCTTTACCGAGGTACTGCATCCCGAGGATCTGCATCCTCACTAAGCTTCTACGTATAGAAATCTACACCTGCATTGCGGTCTTAGCGAGATCATGAATGACGTAAAGGAAACATATCATGAAATATTCATGGTCGTCATCTTAAGATGAAGTTAATTTGTATACCAAATTTTACCTTTATTATTCTTGTTAAATACGGTAATCTAAATGTCTAGTTTTGTCTAAAGCTCAGAAGCACATGTGATTTCAAGATTCATAATCAGTTTTATCGATCTCCAGGAAACCTCAATTCTGCGGAGATGTTCGAGACCAGAAATAAATTCAACGATTCATCATGAGAACTGTATGGTCTTACTCTTGCCTTGCATGGGACGAGAATATGTTGTCATAACAACGGCCTAACTTACACCTTTCAGTATTGTCTAATTGTATGATCGCTTTTAATTTCTTCTCCAGAACTAATCTTTCATCTGTTTATTATCATTAAGCAGAACGGTGGCCGCTCATTAGATCGTAATGAGTTCCGAGGACATCTGGATGTAATTCCAGGTTCACATCCTTCGGGAGACTCAGAGGAAAGCACCGCCAAACGAACAGGAATGGACGCTGAAAAATCAAAAAACCGATTGGAGGAGATTAAAGCTTACTTGGACAGCTTATATCAGTAAACCGGAGAGCATAACAGGACATTTTAATAGTAGACATGGTAGAAGAATTTAATCTCAATACGAGTTGTAAATCGGTGGCAAATATAGATGATAGTTGATATGATGAAATATACTGGTATGAATAAAATCTGATGCAGTAATAAAAGGTGTGTCATTATGTACAATTTCCAAAGCTTGAAGAAGGACTATTTATAGCTGTTCATTCTTCGCAGCTGGATGGTGAAAATAATTCTTTAGACACGAGCCTGATTTTCGTCCTTGTTTATCCAGGCTATGATAAAGTGTTCTTCAATTAGGACAAGTGATAGTAAAGTTTGGTCGTTAGTCTCAACAAGAAAGCATTTAAATCAAACATATTTAGCTTGATCCTCGAAATTTTGAGAAATAAGGAGAAAATTTTTCGACAATTCACTTCAGTGTTTATATTTCTTTTTGTTAATTACTTTGAGAAAACATCACTAACCGCAATTTCATTAGGGAATTTTTTCCTCACTCTATAAAGTAAAAAGTCCATTCCTTTAAACTCTTATAACGTTCCACATATTTTCATAGATGAGTTTGTTGAGGCTTTACAAGAGCGTTGTGATCATTTGTTAAAGAATTTGGTGTCTGGCTTGTTCACTCTTACCAATACTGAAATGGATTTTTTTGGGGGGTAAAATCCGTGTTTTTTGAGTCAATAATTCAGTATTGCCAAACCTCCATTTTATTTGTTGATTATGAAAACTTTCACTTTCGAGAAAATTTGGAAAACATCGCTTTTGTTCCGGAATCCAACTTTCCGCATCATGCCGTATATTCAGTGTAACAAAATTCACAGAAATCCAATCAACAAAACAATTCATCGAAAAAGCTGGTATTTTTTCAAAAATTAACGATGTGGTTTAGGCAATAGCTTTTCAATCCATCACTGATATAAGCCTTATCTTATTGGAAATCAAACAGATCTCAATGGACGATCTCTCTCGAAAACACGAACAAGGATTTCTTCAATTATCTTGAATAGTTTACTTCAAAAAAACGAAGATAGAAATGCAGTTATCACCATCGAACTGATAGACTACATTTACAAAGAGAAAGTAATTCTTTTAGTCGCAAGATATCAACCGATATTGAAATCAGCAGAACTACATAAATCCATGAGATATTTAAGCAACAGACCTACTCTCTATCAATCAGTTTATAGGCATAATAACTTCGCTGGCTGTTGGGAGAACATTCGAGAAGTTTATAAATCACAAGCCGGAGGTGAGTGATGCTCAAAGCTGTCTAGTGTTTTCCCAACATTACACCAGAATAATGAGAGGTAGCGTGGTCTGTTGCTTCTATAAAACAGACTTCATTTTTTGCGGGTTAACCGGTACAAAAAAAAGATAGGATTTGAAACAAACAGAGCGGTCGTGGTATCTCGAACCCAGTTATTTTGAACCGTGACCGTGCTTTTAAAATATCTCCACAGTATGAATACCCTTTCAAAAAATGCTTTCACAGCACAAAACCCTTTTTGTAAAGCGTCCAGAATTTACGCTTAGGCAAAGTGATAATTGTGATTTTTCATGCAGACCAAATAAATGCATAGTAGGCCACTGATGCGTTAAATAAACTCGTAGATGTTTCAAAGTATCATCTTATGAAATATTAAACTTCCATCTCGTTTATCGTGGCTTGTTTTCAGCGTCGGGATAAACGTTAAGATTATATTTAGAAATTTTAGACATTAGATCTCATTGCACGCTATACAAGTGACAATTTGGCTCGAAACTGTTTGCTGACGCCATTAAAAGAGAACTTTGATAAACATTTAAATATATTAAAACCAATTTTATAGTAATGGTGTTAGGATGCGCGTGCTTCAAGCGCGCTGTGAGTCCCGCTGAAACTAACTTGCAGCTGATAGCCTTAGCAACCTGGCCGTAATGTCAGAGTTCCTGCCTCCCGTTGCAATGTGATCGGTAGAATTTTCTATGTTATACAGGTCATCTATTGTCAATTAAGCCGTTGTTAAAAAAACAAAAGCTAGATTACCATCTTTTTAGTATGTTTAAGCGAAAAAAGGATCGAAATTTGGAAAAATTTCACAACGAGAAAGTTTTGTTCATCGTGTCTATAAATGTGCCAATTTTTCTTCTAGGAGCTCATATCACCTGACAAAAATTGCAATCCTCTTTCCTTTTTTATCCATTTTTATGTTTTATATATACTCTCGTTTTCAAAAACGTTGCAATTTGAAAAAAATATATGAAATTAATACACCTTTCGTTTTTTAATCAAATTTTTCAATGCACCTTTCGTTTTTTAATCAAAAGGTGTTTCTTTCTGATGAGAAAACAAAACGCAGATATATGGTATATTTTCCAATTGCAAAATTTTAGAAAACGGGTGTGTATATATATATATATATATCTATGTATGTATATTTAGATTCCTTTCGAAGTTTTATTCAGACAATAAATGCTTACTTTTATTTCTTTGCTACCTCATCCTACTTCAAGTTTTACGTAAATACTACTGACACACAAGTGGCGACTAACGAAGACTATTTATAAACCCACGCTCGTTTAAAGCATATACCAGGTTTAGCACCTTTTAACAATTTAGCAACACACAACTAAAGCAAATTGACACAACATCAGCACAATAAAGTACCTCCACAAGGTCTTACAGCGAGCAGAAACCAGATCAAAGTTTTTCTTCTCGTACGAATAAGGGTCATTTTGGCGTTTCGTTCTAAGAGAAGAAACAAATCGAAAGCAAGACATAATCTCTGTCCATGCATCCTACCCAATATTGATAGGAGCGTAACAAAAGATCTAGAGGGGAGTAGTTTCCTGATCCCGTTTCACGCACGAATTAAAGAAAAAATCACGCGTCATATATATTAAAGGCAAAAATTCGAATCTCTCCTCTTGTATGCAAGATTTCAGGTAAATCTTGAGGTTTTCACTAAACGAAAAAAAAAAATCACGGGTCACGTACATTTCAGGAGGCAAATCACGCTTCACGCTGGTTCATAAATATACGGATCACGCTCGTTTTTCAGTAAAGTACACGCGTCACATATTAATTTTGGCTTTAATCAGGCATCACGAATAAACCCTCCGTCGCCCTCTGATAGTTTGAAGCTTTTTTTAACTTTTTCGAAAATTATAAAAGGGAAAGGAAGTCAAAGCACCCATGCTGCGATTTTCATGTTCAAAACGACATGGACGATAATCAAGATTTTAATTATGAAAGGCCCCGATGAAAAATAGTTTTGAGCCGTTTTGACAATTATAGAGGTATAGATGTGTGATTGAGGAATCTTAAATTCTCCACTCTCTCGATCGCGGTTAAAATTCAACAATTTTCGTATTTAAAGTTAATAGGAACTATTTAGGACAGCAGCGCCACGGAAAGAGTGGCTTTAAATGAATATGAATTTTTAGCTAGAATTTTTCGAAGGGCTGGATTACCGTCTGTTACGACGCCACGACTCGACTTCAGCGTAACGTATGTAAGCGGCGTTGAGTTCCAAATGGAAACTCAAATAGACACAAAAATTTTGATGTTTTCACGTTGTTGATTTGCAGAGGACGGCTCTGAAATGTGAAAAGTTTCAAAACGCACGTGCTGAGCTACTGCTCTGCCCAATAGATGTTTTGTTTTTCTTTGTTTCATTTCCTCGTTGCCGTCGCCGTCGTGGCTGGCTTGGCTTAAGATCCGACAATTGTGTCATCATGCCTTTAAGTCGGGGATTTTCTTTCGATGAAAGATCATTGACAATCTAAGTTATCGCAAAGTTTAAAACTGATGATTGTGATGTCTTAATTCGTTTACTAATCAGTTGGCGTAGCTGTAAATCAGATTCTAATCATAAAATGACAACACTTATTAATCAAAGCTAAAAAGGACAATTTTCCTACTCCTGATAACGGTGTGTTCATTAAATGTTTAAGAAGAGTTTTCATAACAAATAGGTCCATGCTCTATATGGTTGGAATATTCGAGAATTTGATCATTTTTAATCAGTATCTCAGAATTACTCGCCGGCACCTTCCATCAAGATAACTTTTAGATTGACAGTTTCTCGTTGCTAGAAAGTGTTCTTAGCAGGGGGTATTTCATAGTATTTAACAATAAATTAAGCGTCGCCCGTTTGATTAATAACGATGTCTGTATTGAGTGGGAGGTATAAAAGTGGATGTTAAATCTCAGCATTCAAAGGATAGGAGGCTTTTGCACGGAGATGTTGAAAATGAACCTCGTTCGATCTGCTGCTCTTGTAGCCATGCTGCTATCTGTGGTCGAAGGACAGATTTGTAAATGGGGGGCACCATTCGGCTGTCCTAATAGAGATAAGGTTTGTGCATAAAATATAACATGCAGGTAAATCTAAGTTTTTGCTTAACAATTCTCACATTCAAGACGACAGGGTTGCTCCAAGGCAATCAAACGAATTCGAAGAGAAAGATATTTAGCTGAAGCCTTCACCAAAAATAGCATCTCTGTAAAACAAAACTCGCGAATATATGCTTTACTAGAATAGCACAATAACTATAGATAAAAATTCTCAAAATATCTTCGCGAAAAAATTGTTACTTGTACCTTTACATACAGTGTTTAAAATACCTTCCATTCTAGTAATAATATAACAATGCCATTGATGTTTTATAAAACACGACTGAAACACTGCTTGGAAACTTGTAAAAATTTGTACCGTTTGTTTCATCACGTTTGGCTAATGAAAAATAAAATGACAAGAATTCTTCACAACCTTAATTTTAAAAAATTGCGTCAGACTGTGCAGCGCTACGGACGGCTCTAGAGCGAGCGTGCATAATCATTTTCCCATTCTATAAATGACAAATTGGAACGCTCGAGCAATTAAGGATTTGTTCCACGTTTGATGTTCGAAATTATCCAAATTGCGCGATTCTAAGGTAACTGTCAGATATCACGCCTTTTCCTTCTGGAGTGATTTTTAATTGCACCAAGCTGTATTTACTACGACTACCAATATAAATACAAATTTTGATTTGAAATGTGTCTATTAATTTTAGACAGTGGCAATGTCATTAATTAGGGGCTTTTAGATGACTGAAAAAGGGTCACTATAAACCGTGCCAACGTTTACGTTATCTAGCCTTGAGCAGAAGAGAAGTATATACACCTTATTTGATGGTTTAAACAATATGCTCGCGGATATTTTGTGCGTTGCATGATATCATTGACATAACGGTTTTAGTTTTCATGAAGGACTTTGTTGCTTTTCTAACTTTAGTAAGGTTGAATTAAACTATGTTTTTGAGAGGAAAAATATTTTCTGAGAGAACCTACAGTTTGCAAAACTATCTTATATTCTATATCTATGTGCTAATTCGTCTACATATTTTTTTTCTTTGTCTTTCTTAGGCCAGCCATTACTCCCATAACGAAATGGATTCGAATCCAAAGCTCGCTGACACATTTCACAGTCTACGTGTCCCAGAAAGTTCTGACGTGGACATCACTGAATATACGCAGCGCAATCCAATGGATGTCGAATTCAGAAGTGCAAAGAGCACACAAGGCGCTTACAAATTCGAAGACATCAAGACCTATCTTAACAACTTGTACCAAACTGAGAAAATGGAGGCAAAGCATAAATAATTTCTCGAGAAATTTTGAATAAAGTTAGATTATTCTAAGCTTTAAGCAAGTCAAAACACGTGAAAGACATAACAAAACATGTAGTTTGCTAGTAAAGTTTAAGGAAGACTAAGATAAAAATTAGTAGATTTGAATTATCAATTATCTTATTACTGGATAGTTTTCAAGTTTTATATGCTGAACGAAGTACAGAAAGTGCTTATTGACTGCAACTATAAAAACCCATTTAACATTTGTACGTTGGAAAAATAAACTACAAAGTTTATTAGTCTTAAGGTATTAATTGATAATAAAAGGGGCAATTCCTGCAAGAATAAGCATCTACATGAAACAGCTAATAGGTATAGATTCCTTTAAACTTTCATTCTTTTTCCTTTTGTAAGGTTTGCTAGATATCGGTTATTTCACATATTTTCCTTTCATGTTTTGTGCTGGAAATGGGTGCGCGGCTGGCAAAATTTACTCATTTGCGCATGCCTAAGTTTGACCTTGTTTGAAAACTAACGTCGTACTCGTGTTAATGATTAAAAAAAATGACGCATTCATTTCTGTTGTACAGATTTTGTATGCTATCAATTTTCAAATAATTGTTTCAGTTCGTTGTTATCAGAGTTTCGAAACATTTTTTAAAACCGACGGATTAGCTTAATTTAATTGTCATAATGAGCCCAGTTCCGCGGTCACGAAGGTCAGCGGTCAACACAATCGTGGTTTAAAAAAATCATGAAAAGATGACGAAGCCCTGAAAACTGCGAGAAGACAAGATTAAAACAGGTAAAGATGTTTGTCGTCTTATTACGGGCGTGGGACAAAAAATTTCAAAGTCCCATTGAGGAATCGAACCTCAGACCCTCGGATTCCGCGCTCCAATGCTCCGATGGGTAGACGAAAAACAGTTGCACTAAAAAGTGGAAGTTTCCCCCTTGATGCTTTACTTGAGTAGACTGGAAATTGAAAGGTTACCAAAATCCTTCGTTAAAAATCAAAATTTTCCAAAACCACAACCTTGTGGATAACCCTTATCAATAGGAGAACGTTATTAATTCACCACATGCCCCAGTTTATGAAGAGAAGCAGAGCGACGGGAAACACGATAAAACGGACACGAGTGATGAATAGAATACAGATATAATGGAGATTTCATTAAAGTTACAGAAATTTTTTACCATTAAAGAAAGGAGAAAGCAGAGAAGTATTCTCTCTTTACTCAGACTTAAAATTGAATGTTTTATATCCAATATGGAGGAAGACTCAAACCTGAATAAATGGAATCTTTAACGGAGAACTTTTTAACCTTTTACACCTCACATCAGATCAGTATCCATATTCTCCATATTATTCTCTATAAATGTCCTTAGGTGCTGACAAGGATAATTTGTTTAACAATCATAAGCCTTTTTAGTTAGTGATAATTTCCTTTATTCTCGAGACCTTAATGGTTAATTTAGGGGTGACATTTTAAGGAGAAATTAGATGCTCGTTACTCTCAGGGGTGAAAACGTTAAAAAAAACCGAATCTGAATTTACCACAACAATAATGATTCCTTTGCGAGCTTAGTTTCTCAAATTACATTTATTTGAAATAAATATCGATTATGTCACTCTGACTATAGATTCTGTTTTCTTTTATTTTCCTATTCTTGGTCATTCCCATGAGCCCTCAGGATGCCTGTATTGTCCAGTCCTCTCTTCTGCTTCCTCGCTATCAGTCTCTCTCCAGCCATCGTACGGAAGTTTCTCAGAGAATTTAGACGGTTGGCAAGGCGACTGTTTAGTCTACCTGTTTCATCGGCAGTCACCTGCAGAGAAAAAAAGAAGTAAAAATTGTAGTCAGAAATTTTAATTATGCTCCACTTCAAATAAGCATCATTAGCTTCAGAAATTCACAAGACGCGGAGTCTTTAATGTGAAAATCCGAAAGCGAGACCGAAAAATTTTAAAAATAAACCTTTCTACTGCTACCATCATGTCGCTCATATTCCATCAAGATTTTTCGTTGATGACAGGAGTATGTTGCGCTTAGAGTCACTATACCCACATTTTTTTTTAGCGTTTATTTGCGATGTTCCAGCTTTCATAACCCATGCCAATATTTTCAAACGGCAGCGATATAAGATATCCGTCTCCCACAACGATAATTCGGAGTCTAAATCCTTTGCCGTTTGAACGAGTTCTGGAGTTATTGGAGAGCTCTGAAAGAAATTCGAGACTCCTAGACTAACAGCAAAGGCTGACGAGATTCAAGATAGGATAAAAATATTGTGAGAGCTACGATTTTATAGAGCACCATTCTTAACAATTGGTTCAAAATAGAGTGTTAGTCAATAGATTCATAAGCTATAACTCTGATGTTCACCGGTTTAAGATAAAAGCTATATATTTAACATTTCAAAACATATTGTTCCAGAGAGAGCAACAACCTTCGTATTAGAAAGATGGCGAAGTATTTCTGAAATGTTTGAGCAATTTCCGTACGTTCGGGAGGAAAGGAGTAGCGTTTTAGCCCTCAAACCGTGTTTCCTTGTTCCCTAGCATTTTCTTATATCGAATTTGATTATTTTGTCCTCTAGACTAAAAATTTGTACAAACCTGTCTTTTTCCGCAGTTGTACTGATAGGGACAGCTCCATGATTGCACCAACATAAAATTTTGAAAGGCAAGAACGAACAAAAAGAACAGAGTTAGGACAGCTTGATACTTCATCTTCACGATAGAACTTCGAAAGTGTTGTCAACACAGTTTCCTGATGTGAATACTGAATTCGATCACAGTCCCGCTTAAATGAGTGCAAAATGTGATGAATTAATAACTAGCTTGTTAAGGCAACAAATTACCTGATATGAAAAGTTGGCCGGCTTTTTATTTACTTCAAGTAATGTTTGCATAATTTTGTATGGCCTTTAAGTGTTAAATAGCGTGCTTATCAATCAATTCTGTCTTTAGAAGACCGCGCCCTCGATTCATTCTCAATTTGTTTATACGTCCTTGCATCGCCGCAATAAAACTCTAATTATGTACTTTATATAACGAAAAAGAAAGGCTGTTTTCATTTGGAAACCCTACAAAAATGTTCCATCAGAGAACGTCGAGCATCGTGGGGTGACCTAACATACAACGCTTTGTACGTGCTCTCTGATTATTTCAAAGGGAGATTATTTTTTTAGAAAAATTAGAGGAGATTGTTGCGTATTTATTTAACGAGTGCTATTACTTTTTAAAGTACATTTAAGTTGCGTCGGCGGGCAAGTGAAACATCCAACAGTTCATTTTGTACTTAAAGTTGATGAATGTAAATGATCCGCCCTAGCAAATTTCGGAAAGCTGGCGTTTTTAGCGCTTTTGAGTGTAACCTTTCGGCCGAAACAAAGTGTTTTGTTCCATTTGTTAGTTTTAACCTAAAATCTTTATAAAAAGGCGACACTGACAGCTTTTTAGAGGTCCTAAAAATGAAAGAACTCAAGAGAGTAGTGCTAAAAAGGAATTGAAGTAAAAAAAAAGGGAAAGAGAGAGACTGACAGAGAGACAGAGAGAATAATAAAGAAATTCGTACATCTACTCAAGAGAAAAATTGCAAAATGACCCTCCGGCCCCACTCAAAAAGAAAATGAATGGAAAACACCGAATTTCACCTGCAGCTTCTCGCCGATAATACAATCCCCTTTACGAAAGAGCCCCGTAACTTGCTTCAGTCGCTGAGTTAAAACGAAATTTAATTTGTGGTAATATTTTTTAATATTGAATCTTCTCGACATGTTGTCACAGAACTACGAGTCAATCATTTATCGAGCTATATTACCCTTGTTTCCCAAATCATTTAAGTTCCCCTGTCTTTTTTTCTTTCTTTCTTTGTTCCCAATGAAGAATTATGTCTAGGGGGTTTTCTCATCAAGTTAATATCTCTCCTGAATTGAAAACCCAACCTACTTGTTGCATAATTGAGTCCGAATTATTTTAATAGTCATTTTAAAGTGAGATAATTTGGGCAACAAATTGAAAAAAAATTGAAAACAATTATCTGTATTTTTCATTATAAAAGATCTAATGAGAACACATCACCTATATCTGTAACTGACCAATCTTTGTATTTCAAAAGCAACAGGTGAATGCAAAAAAATTATGCTTATTTATTTGAAGGGGCCGTATTTTTTCAGTACTATAAGAATATTTTTTTTATTTTACTTTGTGTAATAGTGAACAACCGCAATAATTTTTTCTCTCCAACAATTCGAATTCAATTTTTTTTAAAGTCCACTATTGAAGCCGGAATAATAGAGCGCTTTAATTTCGTTGTATGTAAGTTTTACGCACATTTCAAGGCATAGGAAACGAAAGTACGTCTGTGGTCTTAAGATCAATTGCAGTGGCAAGTTTAAAAACCTTGCATTGCTACTTCGGAAACTAAATTTATGCAATAAGAGGTCGTTCAGACTTCATCCAATTGACGATGAATCCATGCATAGCGGGAAACTGTATAAAAATTATTTCGATAAGCACGCCACTGTATTTGACAGGTTTTTAACAAGTTGCACGATAAATTATGATTGCGAAATTAATTATAGCCGATATTTCAATTATGAGTAAATAAAGATTCTTGTCCATCACCGCATCTAATTGCAACAAGGTGTATAACGGCTAATCTATCTACTTTGGCGTCAAAAGAAATTTTAATTATTTCTGACTTCAAAACTCAGTCCTCAGTGAAACCTGTTTGCCATTAGAATGTTTCCTCGGTTAAATATTTTTACTAAACCAAAAATTTCAACAAGTCTAATAATTCTCATGTTACCAAACAATCCTTTTTTTTATTGCCCACCTCAGAACATTTTTGTTAATGAGAGGTTGATGTGAGAGGTTGTTTGAGTTTGTCGATATGATTTTATAAGCAACGCTCCCACCAACTACTACAAATGGTGTCAATAATTCGAATTTCAAAACCCTTTCTTTAGCAGATGTTCTACAGCTCCAAAGGGGCGTTTTTAAGCTTGATTCTCACAGTGGTAAAATCTTAATTAACCCTTTACACCCTAACATCAGTATACATATTCTCTGTACTGTTCTTTATACATTTCCTAAGGTGCAGACAAGAAGAATTTGTCTAACAATCAAGAGCTTGTCTAGTTGAGGATCATTTGCTTTATTCTCACGGCCCTACTATTTGATTCAGTGGTGATATTGTTAGTAGAAATTAGGAGCTAGTCATTAGCATGTTATGTTTTTATGTCATATCAACTTGAGAAAACGTTTTTTTTTTCTTTTTCCATTTGCGAAAATTGACAGGATTTCAATTTATTTCTGTAGTTAGTGTTGTGAACATTTCTCTTTTTGACATTATCGCAGTAAGTCTTTCAAAAGATCCACAAACACCAGAGAGTATGACCCATTTTATGCAAAATATATGTCAAAGTAAAGCTAACAACAGATCATGAGGTTTGGAACAGTTTTAAATTGAGTATTGAGAGCGATCCTGAATTGCTCTCCGGTTTTCAAGCGCTCTGAGATTGGTCTAGAAAATGCGCGCCAACATCTCAATCAATCGCGTGGCAGAGTAGAACCAGTTTCAACTTAGTCACTCGCGTTTTCCCGCGCTTCGATGCAAACAGGTTGCCCGTTTTTACTTTGAGTGCTCACTGATGACATTAAACTCTGTTCTGCCTGGAGGTTGTAATTAGTTTGGTTTTTCTACAGTCAATTAAAAACTGCTTTTATATTGATAAAAAAAGCCTAAAATATTTCACCTTTATACGAATGAGCCTGATAAGCCGGCTTGTTACTTCTGACTTCGCCTATTTAAGATATGCCTAAGGGCGAAGTCGGTTTTTGTGAGAAAAGTGAGTCATTTTCCACAGGAAGACTTTCTGGAAGCCGAAATCCCTTTTCTCGATTGCATCGCCAAAAACTTCGTAAAATATGGTAATTGAAAGCTTTGATCTAGTCCAACTAGCTGGCTCACTAACATCAGCTAATTCCTTCGTTACAACATATGCAGCTCGTAGTGATAAATTTTACTTGTGCAGACCAAAGTTCAAGTAGAATGACAGTGAGTTTTATCTGTTCAATTAGCTTCAATGAAAGTAATCCTAAAGAAAAATAGACCATGAACTTCCCTTAACTCCTAAGATCTGATTGCTAACTCTCCCCTCTAGCTGCTACACATTTTTTTGTAAATAAGTTATGAGAATTTGGTGTTAGATCAAGATAACAACTTCTACCTGTTAAGTTTGCGTATTCTCATCGCCTGTTTGCTGGATAATATATGGATATTATAGGGAGAAATTACATTTTAATTACTGAAAGAGTTAAAGGATAGAGAAGAGAAGAAAAGAGAAGGAAAGACAGCTGTAAATTGAATATAAAAAATCCCTTCAGTGGGAAAAATAACTGCTCGAGAACGCATGGAAAGTCTGCTTGGGTGATTAACACCCGCCAAAAACTCCTCAGCTTATTAAAAATAATTTATTCCCATTTTATTCTCATTGCCAAGAAGATATATAAAAAAAAGAAATCGTTATCGTTAAGCAAGAATGAACTGAACCTGGAGACCAATGCTTGTAAGGGTTTCCTGATCATTGAACACACACAAGTCACACAAGTAAGTTTGTTCAAAGCAATAGTGCCAATTTATAATTTGATTCTATTTATTCATTGTTTGTTATCTACTGTGGTTTACTTATTATTTTGTCGGTTTAGCAAGGGGTTAACATTTAATTCCGTTCTTTATCATTCCCATCAGCCACTGCGATATCTGGAGTGTCCAGTCCTCTCACGTTTTCCATCACTTCCTCCTCCGGCCTAAATATCATGTTTCTTTCAAGATGGCTAACAACGGCTTCATTTCGCCTCAACTAGGACAAAGATCACCAAAAGTAAATTTCTTAATGGTGAAAGATAACTGAAGTTAGTCTACAGGGTTCATCTCAATGAACGTAACCCGTTTTCTATAGCATAAAGCGTAATCTCGTACCCAGATCCTACAATGTAACTGAAATGTAAGACCTTACCACCTCTTGGCCGTGGAACGTCTGGGTACAAGACTCCGTTAAGCAATTAGAATTACAGCTACACTTCGCCCTTCTTCCCTTGTCAACGAGATAACAGTTCATCGCAGAGTTACCCTCCCCTCCCCAGGATTTTGACACTTTGTCGATAACCCAGTGACGCTCCAAGAAGAACTGTCAGTGTAAAGTGTCTTTTTCAAATTGTCCTTTTTTTTTTTTTTCTTTTTCCCTTTCCAAAGCGTTCCGATCGCACATGAACAAAGAAGGAAATAAAAAAAAAAGAAAAGAAAAAAACCTGTGGTCATGATAGGTTGTCATGGTTCATTAACAACTTGTCTATTGATTTGTTGGACAGGTAACTATTTCAGTTAGTAGTAAAGTTTTCGGAAGAAAATTAGTGTATGTCATCTGAAAAGCATCCCTGATTGTTTTTATAAAAAAGAGAATTTGTTTTTCCACGGCAGAACTCAAGAATTTTCTTTTTGGAAATACGAATTCAGAAAAAGTCTAAAAACGTATGGGTTAAAAAGTTGAAGCAAATGGTAATTAATGGCAAACCTTTTGTTTTCTTCCACATCTGGAGTCGAAGGGGCAGTTCCACCTTCTAGAATTGGAAGCCAACACAAAACCAGGAATTGCTAAGACAAAAACATAAAAAAGGGCGAAGGCAGTTCGCGAATCCATTTTCGCTCCGATTTTGTTTGTTTAAACTTCTGAGGGCTTCTCGCTCACGATTGTGAATATAGAAGCAAGAAACTCGAAACCCTTCCTTTTAAACGGTCCGACAGCCTACTTGAAAATGTCATCTTTTATTTATAGAGAAAAAGAAACGTTCTCTCAATGTGAGCGCGGCTTTTTGCGCTCAAGTACTTTGGTGTATATACATATATGTATATTGCAAACCGGTTCTTGGTAAGCTTTATAAAAACCAAGAACACTTAGCCGGTATACACCAAATTGAAAAAATGTTTACGTTTGCAAGTGTCGTTCTTTTTTAACTCTGGCCGAAAATCCCATTTTTTTACTATTCCACTTAATATATTTTATTTTCTTCTGCAGGCCTTCAAGCTACTTGTATGTAAATGGAAAGATTGAATTTTCTATAGCCTTCAGGGGTCCTCTAAGGTCGTTGAAAACGAAACAGTCTTAAGATGATGTATACAATCATTATAAATCGTCCGACGGCAGTTTCATCGGGTGATGGAACACAAAAGCTTTTCAAAGCACTGCCTGACTGTTTTTGTGAGTGTACTTGGAAAAAGAGTCAATTATACTTTCTATCCTATTTGGTGAAGATTTAATGAAAAGAGCTGCAACCGTGAACGCGCTCGCATGAAGATAATTTTCCTCGATTTTCTTAGTATTTCGAGGGGAGTGAAGATCGTTATAAGAAATACGCATTTGAGAAGTTTAATCAAGAAGGATTCATGTTCCCTCTCATGAGGAAAAACTAGCTCAAAATTAATCTCATAAAATCTTGGCTGGTTTGAGTTTCGACGGTAAATCAAACTGCAGTAGTGGGAAACAATTCGAACATTGCTTTATAAGTTACTGATCAGGCGCAGGGGACTGCGAAGAAACTCGCTAATCTGGCTGGCCCGAATGACCGGACGGATTTTGTTATCTGTTCATGGGAGAACTTTCACTCCGGTCACCGAGCGGAGATTTCAAACCTATGACTGCTCGCTAAATCATTTTAGCAGAATTATATGCTGATTAGGATGAGCAATGAGCGACCTCACATTCTTTTCCGGTGCCAAGGGGTATACTTATAAGAAATATTCCAGCCGGTTGCCGTGATCTCAATAACCGGAAAGAACATAAGAAAACACCGCAACTTTTACAATAGAAAGAGTGGTAAGGTACGATCTTAGAGGCTGAATCAATTCTGTTGGACGGGCTTGTTATGAAGCCCGCAGCCTCCGAAAGTTTTTTTACGAGAGTGTTTAAAAACAAGTAACTTTGGAAGGCGTAAAATTAGCAGGTATTCGTTTGGTTAATTATATTTATGATCCAAAGATTGTGATGTAAAAATACAAAAACAGAGACCAATGGAAAATAGAACTATTGCAATCGCTGTCAATATTTTTCACAAATAGTCTTCATATTATGATTTGATTTTACCAATGGGTTGATAACTTAAATTGGCCACCGTAAAGAGTTTCCAAAGCTGACGTTTCCAGCGCAAGCCCTTCGTCATTCGCTCTGACGAAGAGCTAACACAAGAAAATTCATCCTAAGAAACTCTTTATGGTGGCAAATTTGCATTATCAACCAAGTTGAACCAAATTATTTTTTAATACCCCATGCCGGCCACCGACGCAGCACGCAGTTTCTTTAGAAACTCTTCTGTTTTATTTCTTCCTTAATTCAAACTATTTGTGTGACCAAAATGAGTTGCCGCAATTAAAGGACCATGCATTATACTATCATCGGGACGGATTTTACCGACATTAATTGAAAGCTTTACCGCATTACTTTCTGAGCTCTTTCAGTGTCAAGAAACGAAAGTTTTCAAAAAACTCCTCTTCAATTTTCCGTTGATGACGTGCTCAACATGAAATAAGAAAGCCGGTGTCCGTTACTCGTGTTGAAACAATAATGACTTCGGCACTTGCTTTTTGTGCCTCCGTATGGGAACAGCTTTAGGTACTTTATACAGACATCGTGCTATGCTAAATAACCGAGTAACCTCTTTCATAACCGTTTAAAACGGTTTGATGCGGCTTACATCACAGAGAAATTACGGTCCATCGGTCCGTCTTGAGAAATTTTTAAAGGCGATTCTGTAACGGGTACAAATGTCTCTAGATATTGTCACGTGTTGCAATTCCTTTGGAATTAAGTTAAAAGATTTTAGGTCAGAATTCGACATTAAAGCGACAAATAGAACGTTTGTATTCTTTCAGATCTTTTATTATGGTGTAAACTTGTAAAACGACTGACAAATAATTTTCGGTGTAGAAACTCACTTTACGTTTGTCACGAATATATATTTTTCAATTTACCAGGGACCCATCAGCTTACTTGCTGAAACCTGGCAGGCTTATTTTTTATGTGTTAACCTACTTCGCTTTTGAATGCAAATTACTTAGCACAATCCGTGTAAACGGAAATTTCATCAGCTCTCTAAACGTTTTCGTGTGCTTATGGTCACATGGGAAAGAAGGAAGTTTATCAAAACATGACGTAGTGTAACAAGCGCTCTAATTGTTTGGAAAACACCCCTATCGTTTCCTGTACCAGTAGATCCAAAATGATATTTGTCTTCCTTCTTTTCCTTATTTTTCCTTTCCTGATCAAACTTTCCATCAAATTAGTGGTTGCCATGGTAACCCTATTCAGTCGCCTTGGGCCAATGTTTTACTGTTCATTTCCATAAACCTACGTGGTGATTACAACCGCAAACCTATGGATTATAAGCAGGCGAGTGGGGGGAATATTGCTTAAGATAACAGCTTTTTCGTGCCGTACGATAAGCTTTTGTTTTTCCCTTGAGTTGCCACAAGATGTTACCGCAATTTAAGATCATAGCAACAGTTAGCTCGTGTTTCACACTTTAACTGGCGATAAAATTTGAGGTTACGATATGCTGCTAAAACGCTCTATTCTTAGAATGAAAAGGGTAATGGAAACTCCAGCCAAATGTTCACGACTGACAGTCTTAAAAGGCGAAAAACAAAAGTTTGCATTCAACGTAAAGAAAATCGCAGAAAAATGCTTTCGAACGTCAAAATGGAGTCGACAAAACAAAAAGGAACAAAAAAAGGCCGAGTATGCAAAAGATTGAAATTGATATGATACGATGATAGCTGAATTTTTTTTTATAGCTGTGAGCGGTTAAAGTCAATTTAGGGCCACTCTGTAATCTATTGGTTGTAAATAGAGGAAGAGTTTGAGCAGTCATCTCGGCGACAGTGTGGGCACTGTCGATATTAATTAAAAAGAAAAATATTAAGGCCATTCAGTTGTCAATTATTCTGCTATTGATATCTCGATCCATCTAGTTTCAGGTTACAGGTTGTCAGTTTTTTTAGCTAGCCACGATCTTGGTTAGAAACAGTTAGTGAGTGAAGAAATTCGTCTGAGAGTCGTGTTTGTATCAAGTTGTTAAAAAATTCCAGCTGCCCAGTTTATCGTTCCATAATTTTTTTTTTCGGAAGCTGGCTTAAGTATAAATTTGCGAAAGAAGACGAAATTTTTACATACACAGTTAATGATTCTACCATTAACATTAGCGTTTTGTTCGATTTTCGCCTTGTTACTGTTAAGCAAACCACGAAGGCAATGGAAGCGAGAACGTGGCAAAACAAAAGATCTGATGGGCAGAACAATAGCTCAGCACGTGCGTTTTAAAACTTTGTGAAATCCTCAGAACTTGCGTGCTCTGAGATCGGAAACCCCGGCGGAAATTTATTTAAGTTTCCATTTGGCACGTAATGCTATTCACATGCGTTTTGTTGAAGTTTAGGTGTGGAAAATACATCTAGCCATTCGAAATATTCTACCCAAAAATACAAATTTATTTTCTAAGCGCGTCTTCCCCTGCGTTTCAATTCTGAATGAGAAACGAGAAGAAACGTTTGTGATTTTCCAGAGCTCTATTTACACAACACAAGGATCTCAGTTTCACGGTTTCATCTCAAAATAATATAGCTTGCGAAGTTAAAAGGCCTCAAATCTCCTTACATGGCTTGAAGTTTCCCAGTTTGCTTTCAGTCTAGAGATCATGTCTATGACAAAACTAACAAAAGAACTTGAAAATTGATGGTAAATGCTTACATATCAAATGATAATCTGTGAATAATGTTAAGAAAGTGTCTTTTACATAGCTGTGAAGACCGTTTGATTGCGATCGCGAGAAAGTGAGAGTACCTTGTACAAAGACTTGTTAAATAATTTGCAAATAAGAGACTAGTTTATTTCTCTATCAGATCAGTTATAAATAGATAAAATACGTACTACTAGCACCCTAATTAGTCCAAAACCTATTGTTTATAGAACCAGCAAATCCATAGGAAATAGAATTTTATTTTATAAAAGCAATAGTTTGCAGTATTTATCAATTTGGCGGCGTTATGTTGGGAGAACACTCGAAAACTGGTTTGTGGTTGAATCACTCGCCTCCGGCTCTTTATTCCCAAATTTTTTTTCGTGCTCTTCAACATCCCAGCTGATTCATTACACCGGTAAACCAGTACAAACTGCAGTCTATTGCTTACGATTATGATTCGGAGCTACTTCAAGTTATTAAATAAAAGTAACTGATAATATATATCTTGTTAAATCGCACATGTGGCGAGTGTGGGTGCGCACTGATAAGGCGTTTCAGGTAGCAAAGCTGGCGGTGTGCATTGACGGGCGTGAATTTCGTCGATCTCACGCGCTCTTGCGTGATGAACGTGGGATAACGGGCGCGAATTTTGTCGCAGTCCAATCGGTGAAATCGAAAGATAAGGAAGTTTTCTAGTGTCGCATAATTTTATCGTAAGTCAATCAACCTCAATTTTTTGGGGGTTTGCGACTCTGTAAAAAAAATGAGTTTATGAGCCTCGTGTATGCAGGAAAGGTTTTTATCTTTTCCCACAAACGTGGGCTTTTTAAGCAGGAACAGCTACTAAAATTAATTCCCATAAAATCACTACAAATTGCACGCAATAAAAATTCTACTAACGAATCTTCCAGGAAGGTTCGCATTAAATTTTGTCGGCCATCCTTCCCAAA